ACTCAATTATGGCCACGTCCACTGAAAGGAATGCGTGTCCTGGAGTTTATGTTAGCGAAATATTATATGGTCAACTTCCACAATGACACCTTCATTTTGACAGCTTCTTTGTAATGTTTTGCCGTCTTTTTAACGCCTAACAATGTTACACCCTACGTTAGTTTTTATGTAAATTTATGGCAAAGAAAAACTATAGACCATACTGTTGGCAATGTATCTATGTTGATGAACACTCATACTACATATATGTATATGGTATGTAACTGCAAGTATATGTTAACAGTGGATTGCTACAGTCCTAAGCCATTGGTTTTTGTCACCTACAGCCACGTCAGGTTAGCAAATGATGCCCGCGAGTGGCGGTAGTACAAGTAGGCCATGAATAAATTGTCTACGCGACTGTCATAATGATTAGTTATGCTGATGACATTATTTGTTAATGTATTTAGTTGATGTATTTCGCTTTTTATTATTGTGATTGTTAAATAGGATCGTACAGTATACATTGTTTATTTTATTAAAGAACACGCGTTCGGCAGTTAATAGAATGGAAGGCAACAGCGCGGCTGAATGGCTAAATGGCAGAATGGCTGAATGGCAGTAACAATGACAGGCGGCTAAACTTCGTACATATTTTATACAAATTAGTTACCTTAATGTGTTTTTTTCCACATTATGTATTATAATTTTTTATTATTTTGCGCTACTATATACCAGAAAAAACCCACGTACAACGAACAAGAGGAGCTCTCCGTCGTTCCTTGTTAGCTACTCAGAAACGCCAAGTTCTTTCTAGTGCGCTAATTAAACTTCACTAGTTTATCCCGCAAAGCTGCTCGGGACATGCAATTTTATATTTAATTTTTTCTTAATTTGTTTTATTTCGTTATTAACAAATAAAATGCTAAGCTTTTAAGTAGTTAATGATATAAAAATAAATAATATAAAATTATTGCAAATTTGTGCAAATGAATTTTATTGAATTTAATTTATTTTCCTTAAGTTCTCAGACGAGGGCAGTGTGCGTGCACGAAACCAATTTGTTTTAATTAATTAAATACCTTAAATTATGGCGGAATTATGCAAAATTTTGTAGCACGTATTCGGGTAGCTTAGAAGAGATTAAATTAATTATCTATAAGTAGCATTTCATGTCAATCCATACATACTTAATGGAAAAAATCCTTAAAAATATCAATTGTATTTATTTCAATTTGAGTAAATCTAAATTATAAAATTTATTGTTTTTTTAACGATTTTGTTAATTGATATGTCACTATATACATCTCTCTTAAATCCAAGTATTTGAACAATTACTAATATTTTTAAATCGCTGATGACTACCAATGTACAATCAAGTTTATACGGTATCTAGTGTGGTCTTATGGTATACTGTAAATTTAAGAATTAAAAGCTAACCTG